CGCCGTTCAAAAGGATACCCGACTTCGCCATGGGATGAACTTTCTTGCTTTTGGTTTGGCTCGCCCTTGAAGGGCACTGTGTAATTTCCACTCAAAGCACTATATAAAGCTTCTCGTACTGTCTCTACTTCTTCCTTCTCATCATAAAGACTCCTCTTCTGTTTTCCAAAAAAGCGCTCAAGCGTTATGATGGCTTCGAAACCTTTTCTGAACGAGTACATGTCTTATTCCGCCTTCTTCCTTCGAAAACAAGCATTCCAAAAGCCTGCCTCAATGCTTCATGCGAGCTAAACGCCCAGCATTTGAGTATAAAGCACAGAAAACAACACCATACTTTTGTTCCTCCACGACACACTCGCATCTTACAACTCCAAAAGATGTCAACGAGTGCATCATGGCACCGAATTGCTTATCAACCACTCGCATGATATGGGCCGCGCATGTGGTTCTTCTTCTTCCGCATCGTCTTTTGCTGGAATATTTAAAAGACACAAGCTTTTCTGCATGTTCTGGCGGCTTGCTTCGAGTTCAAAAAGTCATGAGAAACGAACAATGTGTCTCGCTCCTCCTGGTCCCTTCAACGAGCCAGTCACTCTCGGAAGGCAGTTGGATGAGTAAAATGGGTTATCACACACATATGATCGACCCAAATAAAACCGAGAACTTGTGGATGAGATTTGCGCCGCCCCCGTCAGCGGAGATTTCCAAAAGCGCTGGCCGAGGATGAAATGTCTGGCGAGGGGTCCAAAGAAAGCTACAATGGGCTTCATGTCTTCGTCGGCACCTTCTCTGAACGTGGTAATGGCAGTTGCATCACTTCCAAAATATGGTCGACTGGTTCCATGTGCGACTGTGTTGTCGGCGCGCGTATATAAACCTCTATCTTCCCTGTTGCTCAGTCTTTCTTACACAACACTCGCGGGTTTGGGTTTCCAAAAATAAGGAAGATGCTCAAGCATGGAGACTAGAAGGGGAACAAGAAGACTCGGATGTCTTTCCGTGTGCACCGCTGCCCTCATACCTCAAAGGCATAACACAGCCTCCCATCAAAGTCCTCATTCACAACTCGAATACCGATAATTGCTAAAAAGCCAAGTACGGACCCTTCATGTTTCTGAGCCTTTCTTCGACTTCAAAAAGGCCAAGATGGATCTTATGTGCTTTGCTCGTTTGCGAATCGTCAGCAAGCTTTTCGCCGTCCAAACACCAAAACAGCCGCACCGAACTTCATCGAGGGGTGATCTGTTATTTTTGGAACGAGCCGAAAAGTCATGGGTACTCCTTTTCTTGATTTTGGTGATTCCCTCGCAAGGGTGAGGTATAGAAAATCAACTTCTGGGGGTCACAAGAAGTGACTTTATACGATGACGCCCTCTGCCAAGCATACAGACCATGCATTCGTTAACATTTGCTTTTGTATTTTCTACTCCTCCGATGTGTATGTTTGAGATGGCGTCTGTATCCTGCCATCATGATAGTGGGGACAACGCGCTTTCCAAACAGACCAACATACATCGGTGACTCTTCATTTTCTGGTAGTACGCGCAAAATCCGACGGACGACGACATCGCAAAACTTTATGGCGGTTTTGGTTCCGTCAATGAGTGAAGGAGGTTTGGTAGAGATACAGAGTGGCGATGAAGGAAGCAGGGGCAGGACTCTCCATAAACCGGAAGTACATGTTTTTTTTGGAAGGAGGAGCGAACATGGCTCGAGTGGCTAAGAACTTTGGAAGTAAAGAAGCTGTGCTGTGATGAAGGAGGAAGAAAATGGTGGTTACAGAAGACTTATATAGAGATTCCCGGCCTACGCGACTAGAAGCTAGGACGACACACATACAACATTGTCTCACCGTCTTTGAAGTATTCGAAATAACAAATCGTGAAAACAGCCACATGGTCGGTATCGTCTTCGTTTTGGACACATCGCGCGATGTGATTTCTATTTCGTGATAATGCCTGCACAGGTTCAGAACGCATGCCACGAATGCCACGAAATTTCAGACATGTGCCGGCTTCTTTTGGTATTTTCAATGGGAGTCAAGAAGGGTATGAGGATGGCGGACACATGGAAAGAAAGAGTAAAACTTTTTGGCGAAACTCGGACAGAACAGACATGGACGGTACCCATAGGAGCTTTTGGTAAAAGGCCGGAGCCGGGAATTAGTTGTAGGAAAGAGAAACTTGCTCCGCTGCGGCAGGCTTTATATATGCGCACTAGGAGAATTTCTGAACTGGAAGAAAGGATTCTTGAGATGGAGCATTTATGCGCTCTCCGAAAGCGAGAGAAGTGAATGATAGAGCGGAAGAGGGGTGACTCGCTCATTTGTAGGGTTCTTAATGTATACTGTAGGCATTTCGCAGTTGGCCAAATACCGTAGCATCTTTCTGAGAGCTATGAGTTGAACACGAATACCACAAGAAAGAAATACATGGGTGCTTGTGAATTCAACATCTCGGCATCCCGTACTGAAGGTGGACTTTTGATCAAGCGCCAGGAGTTGAACACCAGACTCAGAAGCCAAACATAGGATACCGAACTCAGGGTTTTGGAAGATGCGCAACCGTCATTATACATCGACAATACTCTTTTGGGAGATGCTCTCACAAGTATGCAGTGTACAAGTCCAATTGTCGCAAGCGAGCCATACCTGAGTTTCGAGCTCGCTTCATTCTCCAGCGAGCATAGTTACTTGACGTCGTCGTTTTCGAACGACATCGAGTGAGTTTAGTCGTTTTTAAGGCGCAGAGACTGGCACATGCGAAAAAGTCGCAGGCGTTTGGAAAGAGGGAAGAGCAGACAGCAAAGTCATGGATTCATTCTACACATATTTTGGTTTTTGATATGAGGAAGTGTGGTGTAGGAGATAATATCCCAGCAGAAAGAGAGTAGCTTTTATGCCCTCCTCACTCTTCCACAATCTCCATCTCGTGGTTGCCCACACCTTTTTTTTCGCAACATGATCTTGCTAACATTTGCTTTGAGAAGCAGAGACCAATCCATGTCTCTTGTCTCTGCACTTTTGAAGGAACGGAAGAGCGGAGCACAAGACCATGCGTTTTTGGTTGAATCCTTTTTTGGACATCTGGAACGCAGAGTGTGGAGTAGATGATCAGGTCTCGGGAGGAGGAACAGATCATTCATACCCTGCCCACGCCCTGACGACCATAGCTTCTGCTGTGGTATTCTTCTGCTCGTCATCAGAAGTCGAGATAGAGTTTTTTTGAGAAGCAGAGACCGCCACATACAGTTTCTTGTACGTAGTTTGGTAGGGCAGAGGACCAAGTCATGTCATTTTCCATCTTCGATTTAGACTTCGGACGCGCAAAGTGTGGTGTGAAAGAGCAGCTCTCAGGAGAAAGACAGGTCCTTTTATACGCACCCTCAATCCCCAGAGCGCATGGGATGTCGGCAAGTTCTTTTCTGCAACACATGTTCCCTTCAGCATGTAATCTTAAAGAAGCCAGAGAACGCCACATATCACTGCTTGTGATGTGTTTTAAGAGAAAGAGCAGAGCACACAGCAAGGCCATATATCACTTCCAAGGACGCTTTGGTTTTTGAGAAAGCAGCGTGTGGTGTGGAAGATCATATCCCAGAAACACAGGTAGTTGTTTTATACCTCGTCGCGCGCCGCAGAGGTTTCTCTCTCGTCCATTGTGTCGCAGTCTGAAAGTTTTTGTTTTCTTCAGATGAGGCAAAGGCCAGAGGAGAGTCCACCGAAAGCGTAAAACTGCTCTTTTGTGGAGGGAAGGACGCAGCCATGAACGGTAGTGATGGCTTTTTTGATTTTGAGGAGGCAGCGATATCTTTCTCTCATGCCCAACTTCGTTCTTTCTTTACAGAGTAGAAGCAGGCAAAGACCAGAGGAATCTTCATAGTCACTTCGCATCTCGATTTTGGAGAAAAGAACGCAGCCATGAAACCATAGAATGACGCTTTCGACACTGCGAAAGCAACAACGACTTCTCCCACGTTCATCCTTTGGCTAGTGTTCAGTTTTGGTAGGCCGAAGAGGGAGAGGAGGCAAGAGCTCCATCCAAAACCTGAAAGAACTCTTTGAGAGGAGCAGAAGCAGCCATGGAAAGATTGAACTTCAGCTTTTTGAGTGTTTCGAATGCAGCGGTGCTTTGTCTCATGGGAAGGGTGAAAGAGTCATTTTGAGTACGTGAACAAACTCAGGGAGGAAGAGGCGGGAAAGAACTCCATCGAACAAGACAACGTCGGTTTTGGAGGAAAGGATGCAGCCATAAAAGAGTGCCTCGACCCATTTTGATGTTTTGACACGAGCAGATTTTCTCCCATAGGAATTGGCAATCTCTCTTCTTGATCGTGGTAGGTCGACCAGGAAAGACGAGCAGAAAAGCCCATGACAGGCATACCATGGCGGTTTTGCAGGAAGGAAGCAGCCATAACACAAATTTGGTTCTGTTTCGATGTTTTCGGAAGCAGCAGCGCATCTCTGACATCGGCTTTCACGTAGCGCTTTTGTAGAAGTCGAGAGTGAAGAGGAGGGAACAAACTCCATTGCATCCAGTACGATGGTTTTTGGAAAAGAAGAACACAGTCATGGCTGTGTGCTCCCAGCAGTTTGGTAAAATACTGGAAGAGTGTGGGATACAGAAGCAAGAGTTCTACCCGCACAAAAGACGTTTATATACCCACCTCCATCCCATCTCCGACCCCCATCCGGCATTCTCCCATCGTTCACGTGCGACCCCCGATATGTGAACTGCCTCCAAGTGCGCGTGAAAAACATTCATGATTATACTAATCTTGGTATCTAATCTGCCACCCAAAGTCCTCATCTTCGTCTTTCATCAAAAGGACCAGCCTATCTTTCGCCTGCTCAAAAACGATGCATGCGCGTACGCATGTCCTGCGTTCCCCAACCCACCCAAAGTCTCCATGCCATTCGAAAAAAAAAGAAACGCCATGAATGCAACGCCCTCGTCTCCAAAAACGCTCTGAAAGGGCAATCTATACAGGAACGGTCATAACTATATCCTCCCACCCTCAACAATCTCCCGTCCTATCAACTCCAACTCGCCACTCTCGGCCGTGCGCCTCCTCTCCAAAACCCACCTCCCCTCGCCCGCCTCATCATGTTCGCGCACATACGTCACGCTATCAGCCGCACTCCCCTTGCGACTATGTCCTCTATTCCATCCACTCCCACCACCACCGTTCGGCGTAATAGGACTAGAATTGGAGATAGGACTAAGTCCCATACTCTGCCTGCGCGTTTGACCAGTCGTAGAAACCGTAGGCGCAGATGGCGAAGATAGCGAAGTATCGATTGAAGGTGGGTTTGGTGGTCGGTTTACGTGTTGGGGTAGAAAGGGCGAGGAGAGTGGCATGGGGAAGGGGGAGACGGGGAGGGAGATATTGGAGGGTGAGGTTGCGGAGAGGCCGCCGGGGGACATGGCTAGGCTCATGTTGTGTTGGGCGTAGAGTTCTGAGATGGGAGGGAGGAGGGGTGCTTCGTTTCCTACGCCGTAGCCGGTTGGGCTGGAGAGGCTGTTATAGTCGCTGGATGTGAGAGTGGGGCTTTCGGGGCGGTCGTTGTTGTCGTAGGAGTCTGAGCTGGAGCGACCGGACTCGTATACGCCGTTGACGGCGTCCATGAGACCGTCGTCGTCCTCCTCGTCCATTTGATCGTCATTGGGATAGTCGGATGAGACGTTTTTGGAAGAGTAAGAGCTCTCGAGCGAGCTAGAAGGGTGCTCCTTCATGCGGTTGCCGACGGGGCTTGATGCTCGTGGTACGAACTGCATGCCCATGGGAGAAGAGTTGCGCGGGCTGTTAGCCGCACTGACTGGTAGACTGGCCACACTTCCACCAAAGGCGCCTTTCCGTAGCTTCAGCAGAGTGTCGAGACTCATGTCTTCCTCCTCGTTTCCGGGGAAGCCATATGGACTCATCCGGGCGAGTTGCGCTAGGCCAGGGCTAGACATTGGTTGATTACCGTCGCGGAAGTGGTTGAGACTGATGAAGGAATTGCGAGTGCTGTATTCGCTGCGCTCGGTGATGGGCGTCAGATTCGGCTCTCTTACAGCATTGCGACCGCTGACTGTGCGACCCAGACCCATTCCAGATGGTCCAAAGAAGCCACCCCAAGCGCTTGGTGACTCTCCGACTGCAGATGCGTAGAAACCAAACTCTTGTCCGTAAAACCCCTCATCGTCGTAAGCCAGGGCTTCAGCGTTTGCCTCGGCGATGATGGGGTCATCTTCCATGGCGGAATCAAAATCACTGTAGTCGTAGTCGTCGTTAACAAAACCAGAGCTCATGCCGTACACATCATCATCTTGTGGGAAGCTGATGGTGTCTACACTGAAGCGACCATCGTCAGGGACAAGACTGGGTCGGGAGTTGCTAAGTGAGGACTGGTCGTCAGCATCGAAGCTGGTTTGGCCGACATCCACACTCGCTTTCCTCGTAAACCGACCAGCAGCCTCCGCGCGCGTTGCTGCATCAGCAAGAGCACTGTGATATGCGCTGAGATTCTCAAAACTGGGCACGGGTCGCTGCTGGGCGATTGAAGTTTTGTGTGCGAGCGTGGGCGAAGACTTCTCAAGGTGCTTCGACACAGTGTCGTCATCCGCCTCATAGCCCGTCTCCGAACTCAAGACATCGTAGGCACGCGGCTGATGAGCAGCAGGTGCTTGCTCGTCCTCTGCAAACTTGACCTTCCTCTCGTACAACGGTCCGTTGGGGTCATCGAAGACGTTTTCGTCAAACTCTGTAGGCTCAATGTCGTCTTGGTCGCCGATAAGCCCGTCGTCAAAGTCAAAGTCATCGCCCAAATCGATGTTCCCAAAGCTCTGCTGTTTGGCATCCGAAGGAACGGCGTTATCTGATGTCTCGGGGGATTCGTCCTGGGATTCGTCCGGCTGATTTTGAGAAGTTGTCAAGCCTAGCCCCTGCGCTTGAGCGTTCATCGCATTCTGGCCATCCAGCTGCCCGCTCATCATCAACATCTGATATTGCTGGAGCATCTCCTGCGACATGGCAAAACCGATGGGGTTTCCGTTCATGTCGACGGGTGCCTGCATCTGGTTCATCGGACTGGCAATATGACCCTTATTCTGCTGTAGCGACAGAGATGAGAAGTCGAAAGCGTTCATGCCAGAGTCGAGGGTTTGGTCTCCCAGTCCACCCCCAAACTCGTCCTCCTCACCCAGCATCGGTATTTCTTCGTCAAACCCGCCGTCCATATCATCGTAATCGTCCATGCCGTAGTCGTCGTAGTCGTCTTCGACCGAATTTGTAGAAATACGCGCCTGCTTCTTCTCCGCCTCCTTCGCCTTGTGTCGCTCCTCGAGCAGCTTCTCTTGCGCAGAATCCGTCTGACCAGATATCTGGAAGCTGAACCTGGACGCTCGACTGCTGAAATGCGCAGGTAGCCCGGCTGGCTGGAACGACGGGTCGGAGACGGAGGTGGCTCTCGAGCGTGCGGGCGGTGGTGGCGACTTTGTCGACTTTCTTTTCCGCGGGGTAACATCTGTAGACACATCGAGGGGATTCTCTGACTCTTGTACAGGCGAAAGGACTGAGGAACCGCTGTCGAAACCTTGGAATGACGGTCGAGGCAGTGGAGACGTTTGTGGGGGAGGCAATGGGGACAACTGCGGTGGAGGCGGAGGCGGCGGCGAGTTCTTGGGTTGCGGCGGAGGAGGAGCTGAGCGTTCAGGCGGGGGATATTGTACGGAATTTCTCGCGAGGAAGTCCTTATTCACCAGTTGCTCAGCCCGTATAGCAGCTTGCGACTGCTCGTAGCTGGTATCGTCGTCAAAGTGCTCACGGAACACTGGTGTATGCTCCTTGTCTATCTTCGGCGGGCTGACACGACCAATCTCCTGCTGCCCTTCTCCGCCTTCTGCCGCAGTATTGTACGAGTAGCCTCTGTTCAGTCTCGGCGCGTTGAAGTCGTGTACGATCTTTCCGCGGATACTGGGGTCGTAGTTGTCGGGCATGGGGGGAACGTTCGAGGGCGAGCGTTGGGTAACGAGCGATTCGTCGGCGAGAGGATCCAGGGTCTGTCCAGACCTGCGTCGCATGAGGAGGGACATGGGATTGCGCAGGGTCAGTCTCGATCTCGACTTGCTGGGGGCTGCTGTTGGGGTCGAAGTGCCCTTGGAACTGCCCGTGAGCTTGTCGCTGATGCCACTCAGCAGCGACGTCTGCGACTTGGAGAAGTTGGAATAGCTGGGAGAGATGACAGAGGGCGCCAGGTGGGAGGATGACTGGGGAGGCGTCTCAGACGACGGGGCGGGTTCTGTCCTCTGTGGCAAGGGAGAGCCTCCACTGTGTGAGCGCGCAGAGAGGGGCTTGTTCTCATAGGCGGGGGAGAAGTGGTCCTGTGCCCTCTGGGGCGGGGAGAGCAAGCTGCGATCCTGCGCCATCTTACTGCTGCTCCCCCCAGTGCTCCCCGAGTGCTGACTGGCGGTATATTGGGAGCTACCAGGCGAAGCCGCCTTGTCCAGCTTGGAGGCGACGCGTGCGATGGGCGGCAGTTGGGGCGGGTAGGGCGATATGGGCGAGCCCGAGGTGTAGCTGGCATTGTCGTTGAAGCGCGGCGAGGAGAAGTGGTCGGTGGTCTGCGCGGGCGAGGGCAGTGGAGGTGCGGCAGGACTGGGGCTGGGGACGGGCTCGGGCGAGGCCGGACTCGAGGCATTGCGCTTCGCATGGCCGGGCCTGAGCTTGGAGAACATTGAAGTCCCGGACGGCGCCATGGTTGTGTTTCGTGTCGCCGCGCGGCCACTGTCGCGCTGCGTCTAGCACGCAGAGTCGATGCCGGGCGGCGCTGGTTCGGGCGGTTGTCGTGCCTCTCAGCGAGGCCATGCACCGAAGCGCACCATGACCGGGTGGGGAGAAGCGGGCGGCGGCGTCGTTGGGGCGATATGCCGCTGATTGGAAAAGTTGGTGATGGGATTCCGGCGTGGTACAGCCTCGGAATGCTAGCGGGTGAGGCGCGACGGCGTCAATTGCGGCTTGGCGGTGGTAGAGCAGGGCAGCCAAGTGCCGAGTGTCGTGGCCGTCTCGTGTAGCCAGAGGGAGGGGCGCGTCGCTGTCTTCGTACTGCTCCGTCGTGGCTGGCCGTGAATGCTGATGCGACCTCCTCTCCCAACACCAAAGGTTCATGCGACACGCCCGCTAGCAGGGGTCTTCCCGCACCACCACCTCCCCACTCAGACAACTGGAACGCTCTTGCAACGGCTTCGCGTAGACTTTCTGAACCCGCGAGCGCTCGGTCCCACACACATGCTATGCGCTGATCAAGCAAAAGGATGCATGAGGTCGCTTCACTGCAAAGTCGAAGATCATCAACCAGACGCTGATGACGTTGAGCCCGTACATACTACAAACCCCACTCTAGCCCTAGACGAGCGATAAGACCATGGCCTGACATGTGCTTTTTCATTCAACATTCATTTGAAGAGGCATTAGAGCCGAGTCTACCCTCCCAACATCTCACTAAGCAGGCCTCTTGCCGCCCTTCGACATCTTCGGCCTTCCAAACCTCCCAACATTCCGCTTCCTCAGTTCCGCCCGCTTCGCGACTTCCTCACCAGCCGCCCAGGTAGGCTCGGGGTCCGGTCCGTTGAGCGCCGTGTTGTATGTAGCATTGGCCGGCGTCACCTCGAACTGGATCGTGGCATTGCCCTCTCTGTAGTCACTTGTCGGTGTGCCCACACTCAAGTAGTTCGCGTCACACTCCTCCTTACCAGTCGCGATGTCGACCTGCTTGAGCGCGCGCTCGAAGATCTCAAGGGATGCAAGAGGTTGGTAGAAAGGTACCTCGTGGCCGGACTCGTAGATGCGGAGGAAAGAGAAAAGTCCTGCCTGCTTGACTTGGCCGTGCACGATGCCGTCGCTGGTGGTAATGTTGGTGAATCCAGCCTCAGAGTAGCCAGTCGCGTTGATCATGTCTGCGACAACCTGGCCGCCGAGCCAGTTGCAGTTGTAGTCGGCATCACCGTAGTACAGCATAACTTGGACGCCAGCATCGAGCAATTTCTGGCAAGCAGCGATGGTGCCGGATGGACGGTCGTCATCACCCGTGTTGCCAAAGGCCGCAGAGACCGTGCTGGCACTCGTGGAGAAGTTCTGGAACGCGCCAATTGCTTGCTGCACCTCCGGCAGGTTCAAATAATCACTGAAGTAGTCGTAGGGGAACGGGTCCGGCGTCAAGAACCTCATGTCGTACTCGTCGCGTCCGCTGTAGATGTCGTACAAGTTTTCGACCTTGGAGTAGCAGAAGTCATCTGCAGCGGCACAGACCGAATTGATTCCGGTTTCGTAGCATTGTTTGGTGCGGTCTACGCAGTTTCCTGGGCCGTACAGGTTGTTGTACCACTCGGCCTTGACTGTGTCGTTGTACGGGTCGTAGTCGTAGGTGTTGCCAGGGTAGACTGAGTAGTTGTAGTAGGCCTGGTACTGGACAAGAGGATCGAACCACCCGTTACCGATCAGCACGTTCTCGAGCTCGATCTTATGTGCGCCGCTGATGTTCTTCGCGTTCTGGTCAAGGAAGTACGCGTTGAAGACGGGGGCGTAGTGGCCTCCGTAGCTCTCGGTCGTGAAGCTGAAGCCGTTGCGCGAGTACTGGGGAAATGCGCCCATGAAACCTTGCAGCGTCTTCCACATGTTTGGCGCCGCGCTCTCTGTGCTGTTGGCGGTCAAGGTGTGGTCGGGCTTGGAGTATGTTCCGCATGTTCCATAGTTCTGAGCGTAGTCGGGGCAGGTCGCGTTCGGTAGCTGAATGATCGTGCTGCCGTCGCTGTAGCCGGGGATAGGAATAGAGTATGAGAGACCAACATCTGTTGGCTGATCGATGAACAGCATGTTGCTCGCATTCGTCCACGAGTACGGGTTGTTGAACGGCTTCATGTCTGGGCCAATACCACATGGTCCCAATTCCTGGAAGAGACCGATCATGGAGCTGGAGCCTGGGCCTCCATTGATCCACTGGAAAGACGTTAGTATGTTTCCGTGATGCTAAGAAGAAGTTCGTGATGTTTTGCATTGTGAACAGGTCTGCAGCCTACATCAACTTGGAAACCTGCAAACTAGGTGACCTAACGTCGATGTAGGCTCCGGACCTGTTCAGTTTACGTCTTCTATGAGGTGCGCCAAAGATGCAGCTCATAGAACACAGTCTCGTCGCGTATGCTGACTTACCACTGTCAACGGCGCATCAGTCGGATCCTGATTGCGCGCCTCGAAGAACCACCAAAAGATATGCTGATCCTCCGCCACATCCGCATAACCACTGTAGCTCTTGACACTCGGGTCAAGCTCGCAGATGCCAGCAGGTACCTCCTTGTACCGTACACTAACATTCGCATAACCCTCTTTAGTAATAAGATCCTTCGGCGCAGGAACAAACTGCGCAAGGGCACCCGCAGCCAACAAAGGCGCGGCGATAAGCTTGCCTGTCGCACTCTTCATCGTCGGTTTCGTTGCAAGTCTTCTTGAGGCGACGAGCTGTGAGGTGAGAGAATAGAGAAAGGGCAATGACGAGCACGTTCACGTTTTATTCTAGAAGCTTATGCAGGTCCGAACTAGAAAGGCCCGCAGTCCTCGCGATAGCCAGCTCTCACCTTCCCATGTGGGCTAACAAGTTGCTCATCTCGGTCCCGTGGGCCGGGGTTGTGGCTATCCGCGTAGCCCGATGCTCGTACCAACGACGTCATGGTGTAGCTCGGTGTTCGCGGTTTGTTTTTGCGCAACGCGCGAAGACTGAAGATGTGATTGCTACCTAAGTAGCTGATTCAAAGGTCTATCGAGGAATGTACACACATTAGACGATTGACTCCAGGTAACCTACAGAGCTTCACGCTTCGGGCGGACAGAAACCATGAATCGACCGAAGCTCGTCAATGGAGTAAGAAGACGCGAAAAGCTACCCCGCTACTCAACCCAAGCGCGCATTGGCAAGTGCTTGTGCAAGCTTGCATGGCTTGATAGCCGTCATGGCGATAGTGGCAGACGATCTAATCCTATATGGGCAGGTAGGTAGCACCGATTATCCGAACATCACCGGTCAGCTTCATGTCTTCGGCGCCGCGTCAGAAGTCATTTCGGTGTAATCATTGTGTAAGACCCGTGGACGGCTTGTAGTTCCATATCAAGGAAAGGAGACATCACACGATGGGACGGAGTCGTTGTTCAGAACATATGTTATTAGGCTCATGCCATTACAATCGTTGTGTATTCGTATCCGTCACTTCGTATGCAATCGTCAAGTCCTCCAACGCCTCTTACTCCATGTCATGCTGGGATGCAATTGAGGTGGACGCTCATCTACAATACTGTACCGAAGCCGAAGGTCGTCTTGATACTTCGCACGTAGTACTGGTCCCAGTTGGTCTTAGTGGGCTCCTCCTGACCAACTGGTACGCCCTTCCACTCGACCCTCATAACCGTCACGGCATCAACATCGTTTTGATCAAACCATATCGACAGTGTCGAGTAGTGTCCCGCAGGCCATTGTGCAAGTCGCCATTTCTGGACGATGTGTGTGGGTTCTTGGAGCTCGGTGAACTCTCCACTGACGTTTCCGCCAAAGAGCTCAAAGGTACCGCCAGGCTTTGCGCCTGTGAAGTTCTTCGGGGGTGCCCGTGTGAACGCAGCGATGCGCTGGGGGTCCGTGAAGGTCTGGTACAGGTTGGCCGCGTCTGTACGGAACTCTGTGCTGTCGGTGATGGTGGTCACGTTGACAACAGCACCAGAGCTGCTCTTCTGAGAGCCCGATGACTCCGTCTGAGAGGTGGATTTGTTCACGCTTGAGCTCGAGTATACCTTTGGGGCCGAGAAGCCGCTACCGGGGTTCGCGCCTGGCGCGTGTTGGATGTCCTTTCCGTGTTCCGCCATGACCGCGGGCGCAAGCCCTGTGAAACTTGTTCGCAGTTGCGGCAGGATCTTGGATCGTACTAGGTCCTTTACGGGTTGTTTGCTCGCTTCGTCGGAGTAGACGTCTACCTCAAACTGTGTCGAGATGTTAGTGACTGCGTACACTAGCGGGTGCGAAGAAACGAAGGAGGGTGCCAGCGAAGGGAACATACGACATACTCGTCTTCCTCCGTGTCGTGAGCGACTTCCGGGACGGTAATGGTGCCGCTCGCCTCTTCGCCCTCTTTGTTCTTGCCTGCCGACTGAGTCAGCGCGACCAAGAAAGGCAGCTGAGAAAGACGTACCTGAGTATTCGAGCTTCAGCTTCACGTCGAAGATGGTGATGACTTTGCCTTTGCGTTGGCTCACGTCTACGTCTCCATCCATGCTAACGACCTTGTCGATCTTGGCTGTGACGCCATCCTGCTCCGCCGATATTTGCGTGAGCTCCTTGTCAAGGTACTCGCGCGTCCATCCTGACACATCCTTGTTGACCCAATGCCAGTTGTTCGGGTTGTGGAGGACCATGGTGATGTTCGGCGGCGCGCTCGATCTCGATTCAATTTCTGTCATGAAGTTGTTAGCTTCGGCCTCTCATACTATGTAGAAAAACACGTGTAGTGGAAGATTGTCAGAGGGCGACTCGTGAGTCTAAGCAGCTGATCCGCATATAAAGAGTACAAGTCTTCTCAGACTGGTGCCAGCTTGTGTCTCATCATTCAAGGATTGGTAAAGCGTGGTGAATACTTACAAATTATAGCGCTCAAGCTGGAACAGGACTCTACAAGCGACAAACTAAGGCGCAGATGCAGAATATCGAAGGAGTCGAGGTGCTGATGCGAATTATGTAGAGGGGAGCTTGAGGCAGAAGTTTCTGGAACTGATACCACAAAGCGCGCTATGCCCGGGCCGACCGAAGCTCCGCTCGCGTTCCTTGGCCCGAGCTCTTTGCAGCAGCGGCAGCAACGTCGTTGCATGCTGCTGGTCGCGATGCTTTCACTCACTCCAAACGTCTTCACGACAGGATGCACGCAACGGTTGCCAGGCAAACGGTTCGAGTTCAATGGGAAGCTGTCACGTTCGACATTGAAGAAACTTTCGGGGCTTCACTAGCGGACAGGATACAAGTATTGGCCGGCAATCCCAAACTCACCCATCGCAACATGGCGTGCGATGTTGTCCAGGTGATTCAATCTCACTTCCACTAGAATCGGGCCATTGGAATGTTCACCTGGACGACCGCTGAACTGGCGTCTTTACTGCCGTCTTGACGCGGCATGTTGATCGCATTGAGTTTGAGACCAGGGTTTAGCGCACGGCCGGGAGAACGCCCTGGGAGTTCGCGCTGTCTTGCCATCGTCTAACGGCGAAGAAATTGATGTCATTTTCATTAGAGGATACCGAGGGTGGAGTATTTGAAACCCCTTAACCCCAAGGTAGAGAAGCGCACCTGCCTCAGTATCGTTTTGTCTCCTGCTAGTACCGCTGTTGCTTGCAGCTAGAAAGTGCGACCGTGTATCTCGACGCGCAGAACCTTGCGACCACCTCTTCCAGGTTTCCCCTCCACACCGTTGCTTTCTTTTTCACGGCAATTGCACGTCAGATTCTATAATATACTGGGCGCGTCCCTCATTTCTTTCACCACGACCGTCTCTGCACGCACGCCAAGTACTACGCCGCCCGGGTGCATGCGCGACGCGTCTTATCAGCGACAAATCGCTTTCAGCCCCTCCGGACCATCGGCGCGCACATATCATTCCTTCCCTAGCATCGCGAGCGGCACAGCAAAGGCATCTGCTGCTTTTAAAATCACACTCGCTTCCGGTATGTATTCTCATGTTTCCTCTCTTCTCTACCACATCAAACCGTGCGGGAAGTTTTAAGGTTCTGTCACCTGTCATTAGCCGTGCACGAGGCTGTGCGCGCGAACGAGCGTGCCGTACAGAATATGGAGCATGCCAGCCTTGGTGTCACGACAACGCCTGGAACAAATCGACCGGCAAGACATATGAGACGACAAGACTGGTCCATGCACGATTGAAGCATTGCTCGATCTCTGCAATAGGACCAACAAGTCAAACATATACGGCAATAAACATGTATTGTCTCAGACAGCGTTTGCTCGTCGCATCATGTGCCGCTGCAGCCAAAGCTCTTTCTTGCACGGATATTTACCTATATAGCATGTGCAGAGCGTGCGATATTTGTCCTCCCGCACACATGGCTAACTCCTCGTCGCAGTATTAGTAGACCTCCACAGTCGCGATTGTAACGCCTTGAATCATCTGAGATGGTGGCGTCCGTTCTCCAACCAAGCACCTCTCGGGCCAACATGGTGAACAAGAAGAAACGACCAGGTGAGTATCACATTTTTGGCTCTGTCCAAATCGGCTTCTGTGCAGACGCTGACCACCACAGCTTCTGAGCAAGCACAGCCAGCCAAGTCAAAAGCAGTACGCCCGTCCGCAAAACGGCGGTTAGAACGGAGAGTAGCAGGACATCAAGAATATCTTAAGGGTAACGTCGAGGACTTTGTGCGTCACGATCCAGCAACGGAAACGTTGCCCGGTCTACTCGCCTAACATGATGAATTTTTGAAAGCTCAGAGGGCGTGCCTGGAGATCCCACAAGAATTAATTCTAGCTGTCAAGCCAGACAAGGACCCGCAATTAGCCGCAAGTCTCAGACCCAAGCTCAACGAGGTGATGGACGAGTACCAAAGCGAACCCGAGCGTGTGGCAGTCGTCGGCAAGACTGGGCAGGGAAAGTCGAAACTAATAGATGCTATCTTGGGCATCGATGGGATTGCAAGATCGGTAAGCACGACCTCCCCAAAGCATCACATCATCTAACTCTTCTAGGGGGCAACCGGCGTGGCAACGACTCGCACTCCAATTGTATACTCACCCCGTCGAGCGCACGTACAAATCCCCTACGAGGTAAGACTGGAGGTATCCGCCAAGACCGACTGCCGAGATTCAGTACAACAGCATCTTGCCAATCTTACGGAGAACCTGAAAAGGTGCGAAGGACAGCCCCTAGAGTTCGACGAGTATGGACAAGACAGTATCAATGCGCTTCAAAATCTGTTCAGCGACCTCCCAGAATTCGCATCGACCGAATCTATTTCATCATTCCTGGGATTTGACTCGCCGTCCAAAGTAGCATCAGTAGCGAAGCAAAAGGATGCGTTCAATCAATGCGTCAAATGGGCTGAGGAACGACGCCAGAAGATCGTCAATATGTCCGCACAAGGTATCTACGCTACCAATGTGACGGAGCTTCGGCAGGAACTCGCGCAATTTAGCGACGACCAAGCCAAGATGAACGACACGAAGCTTGGCTTCAATCCTTCTTCGTTCGTAGAGAGGATTGAGGTCTTTGGTGACTTTCGGATTCGCTACTCGATCGGCGACTGCCCTGGACTACAGGACATCAACAAGGCAAGCTTGTGCCCTTCCCAGATTGACATCGCTCAAGCTAACCGTGTGTTGATAGGACCGTGAAACAAAAGCGAACCGATATCTTCAGGACTGCAAAGTGGTCGTAGTCGTCGAAGAGATCACGCGAGCTGGTGACAGCGCGTTTCTTGACCACTTAATCAAGGACCGTACTACAAGGAGACCCGATCAACGCATCATCATCGTCTTGACAAAGGGAGAGAGCGGCCTGGACCCCTCGGATCGCAATGGACCAGCATTCAACCAACATGAGATAGCTGATCTCGACTGGCTAGCCCAACGTAAAGTAGAAACTCGGAGAAAGAAGGACAGCTACGCGCCAACAGACTATGCGCAAAGAGACCACTGCGCCCGCGAAATCTCTTTCATCACCCTCGAAGAAAAGGAAATATGTGCCCGAGAACGAGGTCGTCGCATTGGCGCAAGGCTTAAGGCAAGATTCGCAAAACAGAACGACAATTTGACAGTCATTACGACTTCGGCACAAGACTACATGCAGCATGTCGAGGGCTACCACCAGTACACCGACGAGCATCTGCCGCTGTCCGTTGAGTCCACCCAGATCCCCAGTCTATGTAGGGAACTCGCTGCTATCGCCAATGAACGGCTGCAGAAAGATCTTCTTCGCTTTTACAGGCGAACGCTTCCCGAGCTCTTCAGCTTCATCGAGCTCGCTTGCAGCACGACTTCCGGGCCGGTGCAGACAGGGCCCAGGTTCAACTTTGAAGAATTCGCGTCCGGATTCTTGAAGCAGCTCGAAGTCTTCCTCGAGGTTTTCGAAAAAGAACTCATCGATCCGATGATTGAGACCATGAGAAGCGGAGTCGTCGATTGGAAGAACGACGCTCACGATGATATCAATAAATGGCGAAAGTTGCATGGCAACGCCGTACGGTCCTACTTGATCAAGCTAGGCAATCACCGGACAAAGGGACAGCCGAATTGCGGTTGGAACCTTACGCTTCTGCGTGCTGTCCAGACGACGCTCGACCCACTGTTCAAGGTGCTAATCGCGGAGGCATCCTCCAGGCTGGGTAGCCTTGCATACCAGCTAGAAGGAGACGTGGACGATTTCCTGGAAGCCCTTCTCGCTGCCGCCGAACAGCTCGACAGCAAGAACTTTGGAGCGAACCTCGACGACAAGAGACCGCAACTCTACAACATGTTCAGTACTGTCGGCAAAGACCTGATTACATTCATTCGGTTGTTCCGAGGGCGTCTTACTGAAGACGGCAATGGTGACTTCTTTCCCCAAAAAATGAAACCGGTCTACACTGCCACATTACAAGCAAGACCGACAGCCAGAATGACCATGAAAGAGGCGCAGATGCAGATACTGGAAGCGCGCATATGCGGAAATAACAGTCCCTACGACAGAATGGTCGACAAGTTTGAAACCGCCTGGAAAGCCAAGAAGATCGCGTTGTTGGAAATAGGCAGACTAGCTATTGCGGATCAGATGGCAGAGATCAAGGCATCTTACAAGCAACTCAGTACTCCCGAGTCGCAGGACGATGCTGTGACGCTGTTGCGCGCTGAGCTGGAGCGCAAGGTCGGCTTGGCGAGGGAACAGTGTAGGGGTCCTATTTTGGCTTCTCTTCTGGAATGCGGACTTGATCCGAAGTTGAAGAGAGAGAAGAAAGTGAAGAGGGAGAAGAAGTTGGAGAAGGTGGAGAAGTAGGTGAATGGGATGAAAGGGTAGTGAGATGGAGTGTATACCCTGGGTTTGCTTTCATGCGTCCGTTCAGTTCAGGTATGATACCCACGATGGGCGGGAGGCCCGCGAAAATGGAGTCTGGTTTTGTTGTGCGATACTTTTGCGATGTATGTATGTCTACGTAGGCTTTCGAAACGAGTTCGCCATACTATTATCGGATGATCAGACTGTCGCATAACTCCTGTAGGCAACAACCGAAGAACATATCCCATAAGTCCACATTACTCTTGAGACCTTCCTAACTTTCATCTTTGCATCCATGTAGACTGCAGTGTACATGTTGTGTTTCTTGTTTGTATGCTTTATCGGGATGGTTGGTGTACTCTATCCGATAATCATGACATATAGCCGACTACAATCGTCTCCTGCGAGGCAACGTAGTATGTACATGATCGCTATGCCGAACATCCAGAACACCCGCTGCACCCACCAAACCGAGCTCGTCGGCGTCGCCACCGACCTGTCCTTGATTCGGCGGGTGACCTTGAGCGGGCGTGACGGCAGTACATGTCCATTGGAGCGACTACGTCAGCTTCCTTGGCTTCGACGCCATGGCGTCGCCGAGTCCATGGTCGCCAGACAACACGTCAAAGTCGGGAAGCCGACCTGATGAGTCCAGTGGGTGGGTCGGTGCCAACAGAGTCATGGAATCTATGGTGGCGTCCGCGCCAACGGCATCCAGTTCATCGGACCTGTTGGCGTTGATGTAGTGGTAGGTCGACATTCAGGATACGACACTGGGGACTGGAAGCCAGCGAGAGAGCAGCGGGCGCGGAGATACCAACAGCCAACGAGACACCAACCGCCCGGGGTGGTAAGCAGCCTGGAGTCGATCTGGTGAGCCCGGTAGACGTGCTATCGATGCAGTCAACGGCATAGAGTAGCGTTCAAGACAATGGCATCGGTCAAGACCTCAAGCTGGCGTGGTATGGGTGCACGCGTTGGAGGTGGATCAAGTTGATTTGACGGGTCGCGAGTGCGCCTCCGTTGGGCGTATTTGATGATACTTTGCATCGCGTAAGCTGTCCGTGGACATGAGCAGGCGTTCAAGACGGACGTGGCCTCGCTGTCTCGCGGAAGACACCAACGCATGACAAACTCAAGACTGTTCCGAGGACGAGCCTTGACTTCTGCCAACAAGACCCTTGAGCAGGAACTGTCGCAACTGGAGGAGCCTCTGACCAGCCGAACCGCCGACATTCGTATTTGTGCCCTCGCGCTTCTGACATGAGCTCTCGAGACCGACGAAGAGTGTCGCAAGTCTGCCAACATACTAGGCGTGCCGAGGAAATCGCAGAGCGACTCACTCTGAATGAGGGTGTCTGGCTCAAGCATTGGATCACGGGACCATGTGCTTGGGGCGTCGAATGCGTTCGGGGCTGACGACAGCGCAGTCAAGGTCAGGACTTTCGCCTCTAGTCGCTCACGACTAATATGATCGGCCTCCAAGGGTCCTATCGTCGTACCCGTACTCTTTTTCTTGCCTCTCTACTTCGCGGGGGTCCTGTATCGCTCTGGATCGCCCCCAGGGCGGCAGGTGGATGCTGCAATTGCCAAGTCGAGCGGTCGCTCGCTTGCTCATTCGGCGGGGTGGATGAGTTTCGTGCTTCGTCTAGCTCGGCCTGCTCAGGCCGTCTGTGGGTGTAGTGTTTCGGAGCTGATTTCGACGTGGACGCGGCGGACGGATGCGCCACAGTCGACAAACGGGTTGATCAATGCGTCTTCAATCTCCCACGCCATGGAGATTGCTGTCATGCCTGGGAAGAGGGCACTCGTGTCACTCGCGTACAACGGCACGAATATCCGCGCCGCGGAGCTGTGAAGACACCCATGCAAGGCCCTGAAGAGAAGTCGATATGCATAGCCGGTGAATAGGACACAAGGCGTCCGTGTGCCATGGCGGCGCAACGGCAGGTGTTTCTCACAACAAGAGCATAGGCCCAAGTGATTCGAGAGACGGCAGCAAATAGGGTAGATGCCCGACACACTCTGGGTTGAATCATGCCAGCGCGCGGGCGTCCTTATATGGTGGACAGACACAGCTTTTCCGGTGCCATGCCAGTGTATCGTGATGGCGATATCCTGTCCAGCTAGCTCCGCCCTTGACCTGCCTTACACGGGATAGAGCAATTGATAGCTACATGATGGCATGTCAGGGCTCTCGCTCCCTCTCGGATAGGAAGGCGCCTTATCAGGTCCGTGCCTGCAGTAAAGACGCTGGAGGTTCTCACGCATTTTCAAGGCGTTAGATAAATTTCCAGAACACTATGAAGTGCTCCCGGATCCTCCATTACCTGCTAGAACAAAACTTTGGCATGTGATGTATGCGGCAAAGGTGGTTTCTTGAGAGGCGATACGAGCCTACCTAGGTATGCAACGGCCAAGCCTGGAGGTCCTCACGGATTTCTGGGGCGTTGGGGAAATTCTTTGAAGTCTATGAATTGCTCCTGGGCCTCTCGAGACCTATCAGAATAAAGGGTGTTGCTGCTACGTATGCGGTAAAACTGGGTCTACGCAGGACGAGATAAGTCTACCTCGGTATACAACGGCTGAGCCTGGAGGTTCTTACGGATCTCCAGGGCGTCAGAGAAATTCCCAGAAGGCTATGAAGTGTTCCAGGACCCACTGTACCTGGTAGAACGAATGTTCTCCTTGCAATGTATGCGGCAAACGCTTTTCTGCGCCAGAGTTAGTGGCATTCAAATCGGCGACAAACTGGGAGGAAGATCCTGGCTGGCGATGGATAGGAATGCCGAGAAGTCTATCCCACGAATCAGCCGGCTCTTCGACAGGCTTAAAAGCTTGGATGCTGAAGAATTGCGACCTCGTCGCTAATATCCCGCGAACAAGCGTATTGGCCGGCCACGATGTGGACATGCCCACCATCGACTGGATGTTGGAGAAAAGTGGCAGGAACTCCAAACCCAGGACTAGAATGTGAGAGGGACTTTCAAGGCGGTTCGCCAACATGTACAGAACTGAACCAGTGTCTTTGAGATGCTGCCGACAAGAGACATGAGCAATCCAGACTCTGCCAGAGCTGGGAGATAACAAGTATGAGAGATCTTTTTGGCGTATTGTCACAAGGTTATTTTACTCCAGGCGACTACATTGGCTTTGCAATAACATGAAACGCAGTGTTCCAGTGTATGTAGTTGCTAGAGCTCTATGGAGAATAGCACAGAAAGCATCCCTGGGTTGACTCTAAGCGTGCTTCGACTGTGGGCCCGGTGATGGGCATTATCAAAACTTCGAAAGAGATATCGAGATGTTGACTGCCGATGGCGCGGGATCAGGAGTAATCCAGATCCTGTGCCAGCCCGTTGAGCGTTGCGGGGTCTCTCGAGAAACATGATGTGTAAGGCAGGTAGCTTTTCTATTGATTCCTTCCCTCTATAGGTGCTTCTGAGGAAGAGGAGTTTTGGGTCGACGCTGATATTATGATAGTGTGGCTTCGCGATATCTTTGAAGAGGCGCGCAAGATGTCTGATTCAAAGGCGCTATACCTGCGAGCCTGCACTGAACGCCCGGTTTTCAGGTTCTGTTCTCACATTTTGTCGCAACAAAGATTTGACCAGATGCCTACATCAGCGCTGCAACGACCTAAAAGGCGGTAATACTAGGATTGTAGCTGCCAGGACGTGGTCTGCGACAACGCCGAGTCGACACAGTCAGAGTACAAGGCGAGGCGGCTGGCGAGCGTCAGCGAGCCCGCCGCCTCCGCCAGCCTGCCGCGCAGCGGCGCCCCCCTACAGAGAAGATTAGCATGGCCCCTGCACTAAGGATGACACGCTCAATCAAAGAGAAGCTACCGTTTTTTTGCTCTTGATCTGGCGCCGGAGTAGATAGATATTTCTAAGATATATGCGATACAGTACCTTTTGCAGCAAATGTGCGAAAGAAAATTAAGTGCAGAAGAAATGGAGTTCTGACCGTTGTCGTTCGTAAAGAAAGGTTGCTGGACCCTTGCGCAGCAAAAAGAGCGCAAAAAGAAGAGCTGCGCTCGACTCGAACCTGGGTCTCCACGCACCAATTTCGCGGAGGTGTCAGATCAAAGAGCAAAAAAATGGTAGCTTCTCTTTGATTGAGCGTGTCATCCTTAGTGCAGGGGCCATGCTAATCTTCTCTGTATCGTTTCAAATTGACCAAATGCCCGAAGGCGAAGGTCAGACAAATAGATCAATATATATCATGAGGTGTTGAAGCTGTACGCTTGGGCGCGTGAAAAGTCTGGATTTGGGCCGGTGGCGGTCGGGAACACCAAAACTTGGAAGTGGACCACGCTCGAACCACTCAAACTTTGGAGAGTCATTGAGTGACCTGTGCGTGTCCTGGACCTGCATAATGGCTGTCATAAGCGGGCGAAGCCCGCTATGATAGCCAGAACTGCTATTGCGACTATTCGTTGTCGCTATGTCACAACAGCCCATGGGACACCCAGAACATATTCACCATCTCTTTCTTCGATCAACGCAAGGTATACAGTTGGATGTATACACCTGACGGCAACGGCTTTTCGCTATGCGGATGCGTCTGCTAGCTGGGTAGTTGTCTTGTTGGCAGGATCAGCACATGAATCCAGCGCGTTATAGTTGGACCTGTCGCATATGCTTCCAGCGATCTTCGACATCGCAGGATTCGATGGTGCTGTTCGCGATGTCCTTTACTAGTTGCTGAACTTTCTTGTCAGCTGTCTGCATGATTTGGAAGTACTTAGGGACTGACACCTGAAGCCTCCCAGTGCACGACATGCACGGAAAGCAATCTGGTGTCTTGATATGAGATGAAAGTCAGTTTGGAGGCGCGCAGTGATGCGACAGTATCACGAGGAGAGAATGCAAGAGTGTGAGAAAGCCAGGCAAGTGGTATTGACTGTGATGTTTACCCCTCCACCCCACTTGCGCTTCGCGAAACTGCGCATTAGGAAGTAGCGCTTCGATATGGTCGTCACGGTCGCGCCTTCC